CAGACATGTTTTTTTTAAAATTGGCTTTTTTAAAAAATAACAGCTTCATTGAGACAAAATTCACATACCATAAAATTCAGCCTTTTAAAGTGCACAAATTAATGGGTTTTAATTTAATTCCAGAACATTTCATCACCCGTAGAGGAACCCTGGCCCACTAGCAGTCAGTCCCCACATCCTCCTTTCCCCAGCTGCTGGCAGCCATGAATCTACTTTCTTCCTCTGTAGGTTAGTCTATTCTGGAAATCTCGCATAAGCGGAATCATACAACATGTGGCCTTTTGTGTCTGGCTTCTTCCAGTAATGCTTTCAAGGATCATCCATGTTGTAGCATATACTTCACTCCTTTTTATGGCAGGATAATATTCCATTGTATTGATATGCCACCTTTTGTTTATTTGTTTGGAAACATTTGGAATGTTTCCACTTTTTGCCTATTAGGAATATTGCTGCTCTGAACATTTGTGTACGAATTTTTGTATGGGCATACGTTTTCATTTCTCTAGGAGTTAAATTGCTGGGTCATATGTCATGTTATGTTTAGCATTTTGAGAAACTGCCATACTGTTTTCCCAAGTAGGTGAATCATTTTACAATCCCATCAGCAACATCTGAGGATTTCAATTTTTCCACATCCTTACCAACATTTGTTATTATCTGTCTTTTATTATAGCCATCCTAGTGGGTATAAAGTGGTATCTTATTGGCATCTTGATTCGAATTTCCCTAATGATGGTGATATTAAGTATCTTTTAATGTGTTTATTGACTAATTGTGTATCTTCCTTGGAGAAATATCTATTCGAATCCTTTGCTCACTTTTTAATTGAGTTGTATTTTTATGAGTTGCAGTATTTCTTTACATATTCTGGATGCGAGCCCTTTATCTCATGATTTGCAAATGTCTTCCATTCTGGGAGTTGTCTTTTTTCTTTCTCAATGACGTCCTTTGACGCGTAAATGTTTCTAATTTTGGTAAAGTCCAATTTATCTATTTTTTCTTTGATTGTGCCGTTGGTGTCCTAAGAAACTGTTGCCTTTTGAGATAGTCACAAAGATTTATTTCTATGTTTTCTTCTAAGAGTTTTATAGTTTTCACTCTTACGTAAAAAATTATCTTTTTATGGGTTGTAAGATTTTAATTTATATTTCCTTAATGATGATGATGTGCCAGGTGATTATTCTAGATTCTGGGGAAGCAGAGGTAAGCAGGACAGAGCTGTTGCCCTCAAGGAACTTACCTCATAGTGAGGGGGTCACAAATAAATAGAAAACAAGAACAGGGTGAAATAATGTGTGTACAGTGCCTGGCCCCTAGAGTACGTATAGCAAATGGTAGCTTCAATAATAATAATGGCTACTATTTTCGGTATTACAAAGGGCTGTGGCAGGGGGGAGTGACTAACTTTTCCATGTCTAAAGATTAGCTTCATTTAGGGCCACCCCCAATACCTCTGGGACCCAGGAAGAGGATGGATGCAGGTATAGGGCTCTAAAAGTCCAGCCTTTTTGAGAAAGGAAGAAACTCAGCTATGTGTGTCATGCGCACAGCTGGTTCTCTCGTCCCTTTGAATGTTGCTTAGAACAGGGTTATATGATGATCCCTGTCCCAGTCTGTACCTTAGAAAGGATGGCTGCCTTCGTTTGTTTGTAGAAGATCTCTACAGGTTTTGGAGGCAATCTTAGAGGCTTAATAAATTGTAAAATGTTTCTAAATAGATTACATAAGTACATTGTCTTGAATATTGTATAATTAGGACTTTAAATTTCTATTCCCTATTGATAACATTGTGTGTCCTCAAATTGAACTTTTATAGTACAGAGCGATGGTGGCTTTTAAAGTTTTTGATATTTTACAATATTAATGTTAATTTATTTAATTCCACCATCTGAACTAATTATTTTAGTGGGAGGAAGTATAGCTGTATTATACATATTCTAGGCCCCATGTTATAAAAAATAACCAATTATAGAAAACAATTTTAAGAAATCACTTTTTCATGGCTCACGCCTGTAATCGTAGCACTCTGGGAGGCCGAGGCGGGCGGATTGTGTGAGCTCAGGAGTTCGAGACCAGCCTGAGCAAGAGCAAGACCCTGTCTCTACCAAAAATAGAAAGAAATTAATCGGACAACTAAAAATATACAGAAAAAATTAGCCGGGCATGGTGGCGCGTGCCTGTAGTCCCAGCTACTCAGGAGGCTGAGGCAGAAGGATTGCTTGAGCCCAGGAGTTTGAGGTTGCTGTGAGCTAGGATGAAGCCACGGCACTCACTGGCAAAAGAGTGAGACTCTGTCTCAAAAAAAAAAAAAGAAAGAAATCACTTTTTCAAGTTTTTCCATTATACTAGTCATTTGTTTTGTTATCTGCTAGCACATGTTAGCAGAAGAGTGAGAACAGGTGCCATAAGTTAAGAAAAATGTGTTGGAAATGAAAAACTTTAAATTGAGCACATTTTAACAATTAACATAACCTAATTTAAGCTTCAAAGTACTCCAGTCCAGTTGGGTGGGAGGCAGTTGTTTCAAAGAAGGGTAATTTTAGAACCACTGATGCAAGGTTTAAATTTTAATTTAAACACATAGTATTTTATTTAAAAAAAGCAAGCATTTTAGTAACTGGTTTTGATATCATCTATGGGTTTTTATTCAGTCTATGGGTTTTTATTCAGTCTTCAGTTTAAATAGCACTGATTGGCCGTCTGATATATGAGAGGGAGGCCTGTTTAAATTTATGATCCTTTGTCCTAAAAGAGCTCATGATCTGAGGAAGAAACACTGTCTAGTGTAGGACACATACATTGCTAGTTATAAAAAGCAGCAAACTGATAAATGCTCTAATGGAGTTATCAAAGATTTAGGAGCACAAGGCAAGGAAAGATTGGTTTAGAATGGGGCAGGTCTGGGAGAACTTTCTTGAAGAGCTGGCACCTGAGCTGGAACTCAAAGAGACAGCAGAGGTGGGATGAGGGAAGGAAATACTGAGAGCAAAGATTTAGAAAGTGTACATGGAGGGAATTGAGGAAGTGACAGTAACCTGGCACAAGTGGAGTGTAGACTGATGAGGATGGAGCAGAGCATACAGTTAGAAAGATCGGGAAGAGCCACATTGTGCAGTCTTGATAATACCAAACCAGTGAGACTGGACTTGATTCTGTAAGCACTAGGGAGACATGGAGGGTTTTTGAGGAGGGCTCTGGCATGATCAGATCAGTTTAGAAATAGGTTGAAGGTGGGGGAAAAATTACAGACCGTTCTTGGGTGATACAAATGTCATCTTTCCAATTTCATTTCAGTGCAAAAAATCCCAATCTTGTGATTTGAGATATTTGATACAGAAATTCTTGTGTTTAAATTTTAAGGGTTAATTGTGACTTTGGCAAACTGACTGCTCCTCTTGTCTGATATTTTTGGCAATGACCAAGCCAGAGCTTATAAAGGGTAACACTGATAAAGCATGAACTTTCTTCTTTTTTTTGTTAAAAATAACATCTGAGTCAGTACCCCAGATTTTTTCCTTAAATGTCTCTTAGCCAAGGAAATGAACCACCCAGATTTTCATTTTAGAAAAAGGACCAGGAAGTGCATCTATACAGCAGAAGAAAACAAACTGACATGCAGCAGGACTTAATTACATAAGACTCCAGTCCCTAGGTTAGGACTGAACCTCGTTACCTGGGTTTGCGGTCCAGCTCTGCATCTTACAGGCTGTGTCACTTTAAGCATGTTGCTTAACTACTCGTGCCTCAGTTCTTCCACCTGTAAAATGTGGATACTAGTATTCACTTCAGTGGTTTTCATGAGGATTAAATAAACTGATACACATAAAGTGTTCTGAATGGTGGCTGGCACATAGTAAGAGCTCAATAAATGTGAACTATTAATAATCAGTTGTTGGACAATAAAAATGAAGTATCTGCCTGTGACACATTATAGTTGACAAAGCCTTTTCGTATATCCACTAGGTCTTCTGAGCTCTACAATCACCTTACAAGTACTGGTTGCTCTAGTTACCATTGCTGCTAACAAACCACCCCAAAACTTAGAGGCATAAAACAAAAAGTGTTTTATTATGTTCACAGATTCTGTGAGTTGGGAATTCTGAAAAAGCACGGTGGCAATGGCTTACGTCTGCTTCACAGCGTCTGGGGCTGCAGTTGGAGACACCTTGAAAAGCTGGGGAGGGAAAGCTGGGCTGGATCAGGTGACACTGGCAGATCCACTTCCAAGATAGTTTCTTTGCTAATCTGTCTGGCACTTCGGTGGGATGGGTGGAAGGCTGGGCTCAGCTGGGACTGTCACTTAAGCACCTACAGATGGCCTCTCCACCATGGTGACCTCGGGGTAGTGGTCAGACTTCTTACAGTGTTCTTGCAGCAGAAGCTGTCTGCCTTTTATGGCCTAGCCTCAGAAGTCCCATAGCAGACACTTCCCATTCCCTTTTGGTTGAAGCAGTCACAAGCCTGCCCAGACTCAAGGAAAAGGATATAGACCACACCTCTCCATGGGAGGCATAGCAAAGACTTTGGGGGCCGTGTTTCAAAATCACTACACTGGGATTATTCCCTAATTCTAGGTGAGAGATTGCAACTCAGTAGATATTAAATGATTTGCCCAGGGATAGTAACTGGGATAGTTAAGGGGAAGCAGTGTTTAGGGGAGGAGAATGACTTCTAACATAATTCTTCTGACTCTAAATTCTTGTTCTTTCAATTAGATTATTCAGCCGCCTTCAGCTAATATATACTTGCTAGTATGTGAAAGTTCAAAGAAAAAAAATGTAACTGGCTTTGGGTATATTAGTAACTTTCCTAGAAAGAAACAGAGATCTAAAGTATAAGGTATGCATTTGTAAGAGCTTGCATACAAACTTCATATTTTAAGGAGATCTCGATATGACTTCAGTCCTCAGATTGGTCAGACATCATTTTCTGAGGAAAGATCTCAAGAAAGATCTCAGAAAATGTCCCAGATACTTAAAGTGATTTCGTTTGTTCTCCAGGAAAATCTCACCTGGCTATTGTCCAGCGGGTGAATAATGAGGGCGAAGGGGACCCTTTCTATGAGGTGATGGGCATCGTCACACTGGAGGATATCATAGAGGAGATCATCAAGTCGGAGATCCTGGACGAGACTGATCTCTACAGTAAGTGCATGGCCTTGGCCATTCTCCAAGGTCATCTTATTTGCCTCCAAGACTCTCAGGTATAGCTTAGTTTGACATGTAGAAAGGGTGTCAGGGCAAGTCCTCGGCACTGATGTGTGTCAGCCACCTCTGCCAGGTATGGCAAGGTACCCTGGCTAGAATCATCTGAGTCACTGGGAACATGCTAGCTAAGTGTTTATCACAGGAACCGAGCCAAGACTGAAAAGGAGACCTCCTGGCCTAAAAGGGACTTAAAGAAACAAAGTGTACCCAGGATGGTGCCCGGAGGCCTCTCTGCCCTTGGTTCTGTCCCCTGTGTTATTCCTGTTCTGTCTCTTTCTCCACCTAGATACAGACCCCGGCAGCCCCTGGGGTTCTACTCACAGTCCACTGACCCCAGAACATCAGTGAGCAGTGGGGACTGTCATGAGATTGCTCACCCCCGACCTAAGCCAGAAGCTTAAATAACTCTTCTTAGACATGCTCTGCCTTCTTGTGCCTCTCAGCCACACCACCCTGGGTTTCTCATTTTCCCCCTTCCCCGAGACCTGCCACCAGGGTCCCTGCTCCTGTTCCTGCCCCCTCTCTCTGGTCTTCTCACCCTCCTGCCCAAACCCCCTCAGGAACAACATGGGCTCTTTTATGCAGATAGTGACTTTGGGTTACTGAATCTTAGCAAAGCTTTGCTTGCACACATTACAAAGGCATGCTTTGTCTCTGGGATGGAATATTATCTAAGTCCATGGGAGTCCCTAGGCCAGGAAGTGTTTCCTCCTCAGAATTTCATCTCATGGGAAAGCCATCTCTTTTCCTCCCCTCAGATAACACATTTTAGGCCTCTGATGTGAGTTTGCTAGAAACAGCCTCTCAGAAACTGGCTCCTGGACAATGGCCAGGTAGAAAAAGCTTTGATACCAGAAGGCAGTGAGTGGCACAGAGTGAGTGTCCTCCCTTTGGACTAAGAAGAGATCAAGCCTACAAGGTGGGCCAGGCCGTGACAAAAACTAGCAGGAGTGTCACAGCGTCCCCACTCCAGGAACCTGACATTGCTGTGCTGCGGGCCTGAGTGATCGAGCTCAGAAACACCGTCTCCCTCCCCTGCCTCTGTCCACCACTCTTGCTTTAGAGTTCTCACGTGTCTCAGTAGATAGCTGGTGAAGACATTCACACTAAGGAGTTCGTGGCCGATAGTGGTCTAAATGAGCGAGCTCCTTCCTGAGCACTTGTTTGTACAACCTTCTTGCTCCAAACACCTACTATTAAAATCAAAGGAATGAAGGGGAGATCAGAGAAATGATTCCCCAATGATGAAATGTTAAGTGTCATTCTGATGGGGAGAGAGAGGGCATATTTAGGCAAACATATCATGCAGATCAGAAGGTTGCTCACCAGTGACAGCAAAAGAGCTGAGTCCTATCTCTGTATTTACTACTCTCTTGCTGAGTGATCCTCCTTCTACAGGAGGGTTTTTCCACCCTTTTAGTGAGCTGCCAGCAGAATTCTCTAAGAGCTGCAAAAAGGCCAAGGAGCCAGGAGTACTGTGTTTCTTCTTGCGTGACCCTGACTTCTTACATGATCCGTTCACCTGGGTCTGGATCTCCCCACTGTTGCAACCCAAGCAAAAGAAGTGTCCAAGCAGGGGCCAGGTGACTGCGGAGGCTGAGTCAGAGGCAGGCCACAAAAGAGCTGTGTGGGTGGAAGGGCATTCTTCCACTTCTAGAAGGAAACCCAAAGGATCTGGCAGACAGGAGCTCCAAAAGGAGAGGGAGCTCACCAGGGAGCCAGATCCTGGGGCCCGATTTCCCTGCCCCAGGGGTTTGTTCCCTATCCTTTCTGCCTGCACTAGAAGTCCCCTCCACCCTGTTTTTCTCCAGGCCAAGTTTGGAGAAAACTTAAATCCCTTTCCCTATTTCCCTTAGTGCAGATGAGATAGGCTAGCAGTTTCAAAATTTTACTCAAAACTCAGAGATAACAAAAGAGAAATGACCAAAGAAAACATTCCCCCCACCAAAAAAGAAAAAAAATTTATATATATAGGTTAAATTAGAAAAAGCAAATTTCCTCAACCAATAATCACATGTCCAATATATAGGCTCTTGAAGGGTTCCAGGCCCTCCCTGCCTGAGGCTCCTACCCAGAGAACCCACTTTTATAGATTGTAGGTCCATTCCTATTTCTTCTCCTCTCCTCTTCCCCGTATTTCCCCTGATTCTCTCCCAGTGGAGGGGCTGGGGTTGAAGCAGGAGAATTGTGAGTGGTAAGAGGTGGCGACCACCCTCCTCCCTTGGGTGGCCTGCCTCAGGAACCACTCAGAGCCTGGTTTAAAGCAGCAGGAGGAGACCAGGTGAGCCCAGTTCTGGGGAAAGGAGGGGGACAGAAGCAGAAATCCCAGGGCCCCACCAACATTCTTGATGCTAAGAATGCAAGTCCCTCGAGTTTGTATGACTTTATAAAACTACTTTCACAGGTGGTTTCTGGTTAGAGTTTCATAATAACCGCACAAGATGAGTAGAAGAGCTGTTATTAAATATTATTAACCTCCTTGTATAGACTAAAACAAACAAAAACTCTGATCCTTAAGAGGTTGTACAGCCAGTAAGTAGGGGAGCCAGCCCCAGAATCCTGGATTTGGGTGTCCTGAGCCATCTTTCCCCCTTTTCCTCTATATGCCAGCTAAGTGTCAACAACACAGAGATGCTGATGGCGATCTCCCACTGCCTGTCCGTCACCAACATCCTTCCACTCCATGGGAAAGAGATGTTGTAATGTCACCTAGAGTTGACACTGCAGAAATGCGTAGGCTCCCAAAGGATTTGTCTGTCTCTGTGGCTCTGGAAAAGCCTCCAAAGACCAACAGTGATTCTAAGAGAGCTGCAATCTGTTCCCTGTGACCCTGCAGCCGACAATCGGAAAAAGCAGAGGGTCCCGCACCGGGAAAGGAAGCGGCATGACTTCTCCTTGTTTAAGCTTTCCGACACGGAGATGCGGGTGAAGATCTCACCACAGCTTCTGCTGGCCACGCACCGCTTCATGGCTACAGGTAGGACTCTCCCACCCAGGTCTCCACCCCAGAGTAGCTGAAGCAGAATCTCTAGAGTGGGATCCAGGTAGCGATGATTGTTCATACCTTTCAACCTAATTCCAATGCACAACGGGGACTGAGAACCACTCTTCTAGGAAGGAGGTTGCCTTAGATAGAGTAACAGATGCCACCTACTGTCACGTTGTGAAGATCACGCCTGATCTTCCAGGGGAGGAAGTGAGTACAATCCAACTCTCTCTTCTACGGAGAGAAGAGCTAAAGGAAACACTGCTGCACTTTTCCCTTTGTCCACATGCTTCTTGACTGCAGCCTGAGGCCATCCCCTGGCCTGTTAGAGTTCGGGTACCCCAGAGTATTTGTCAGGGAGGGAAAGGCCTTGTCCTACCCAGCAACAAGACTCTGGGGCCCAGTGCCCTCCAGAGGTCTTACAGGCCTGTGAGCTATGAATTCTTAAAATACAGAAGTGGATTGTGAATCTTGGGGTCTTCAGAAAGCAGGAAAGGTGAGAGAATCCAAAGATACACTCCTTCTTGCGAAGAAGGTAAGGTTTACCTTTGAACCCACTGACCTCCACGCCTAGTTAATGTGCCCACCTAGAGTGGTCATATCCATCACTAAGATCAATAATTAATTAAACTGTCATATATTTATTAAGTATAGAATGAGAGCTAGCACTGTTTCAGGTGCTAAAAAGTAGAAAATTTTAAGTTGGAGCTTCTTTAAAGTAGAATTTTCAACATGTTATCTAGTTCTGAATACAGATTTCTTTTAACTGCTGGCTGTCTGAGTTCCCAGAGCAAAGCAGCTGTATCTGTTTGGTATAATATTTGATGTGTGTAAGAGGATCTGTTAATATGTAAATATGATGCTTCCCAGTATTAACAACTCATTTAAATAATTACCTGTCTCTATTAACTTGGGATTTCATTTCATTCAGCAGGTATATGTCATACAAATAAGCCAGATTAAATTCTCTGTATTTCATTGGATTATAGCCTTTAAGCCTTTGTTGTTCAGATGGCTTAGTTATCCATGCCCAATTTTAAATAAAATCAAAGAGAAAATTCGTAACAAAACTGACATTTCCAAAATGGTGACCTATTTCTCCTGAGATGTCAGTGCAGGGACACTTCCCCCCAGAGGGCACAAGGAAGGCCCTGAGATGCACACTTGGGTTTAGGATCCCCCACCCGAAGGACCCCAGAAGCCCTCCCAGCCTGGTGCCCAGGAGCGTGAATGGGCTAGTTGTGCCCACTCTGACTCCCCCCCAGCTGCCCCTGCTGGCACGGGTGGGACCTGGGGGGTGTTGATTCCTCCCTGCCTCCCACCCTCCCCTAGAAGTGGAGCCCTTTAAGTCTCTGTACCTTTCGGAGAAGATCCTGCTCCGGCTCCTGAAACATCCCAACGTGATCCAGGAACTGAAGTTTGATGAGAAGAACAAGAAGGCCCCAGAACACTACCTCTACCAGCGCAACCGCCCTGTGGACTACTTTGTCCTGCTTCTGCAGGTGAGTAGGAAAGCCAGGGAACTTGTAAGAGTGAGACAAGGACATGTCCAGGTGAAGAGGAACGCCATGCTTCCCTCAGCGCCAGGTTCCAAAACTTGGCTGCCTCGGGAACAAGGCCAGTTGGGGTGGGCATTTGTGCATAACCCACAGGAGGGGCCTAGACATGGAAGACTGGTGGGATCTTTGATGGCATTTAGTCAGACTGCTCAGCTATGTTTGGGGTGGGGTGAGTCCCTCTCCAGTAGAGGGGTTCTGCTTGTGAACTTCCAAAACTGCTGCCCTACAGAATCCCTAATAACTTCCTTGTCTCTACTTGAACATCCCCCAAATGAAACTGCCCACTCCCTAAACTTTAGACAATTCTTGTTTAAACCCTCTGTCGAGCTGGAATCTCACCACTCTGACTTCTACACTGGTCCTGGCTGTGCTTTCTGGAGGCGCGTGGGACATGTTCATTCTCTCTGCTGCATTTCAGCCTTTAGAGTCCCTGGAATCGTCTGCCCCTTAAGAGGATCAGGGAGGGGAAAAGATGACTGAGTGAAAGAAGTGCCGCATCTTCCCAGTACTCACATAAGTACTATCACCTTCTGCCCTGGGTGCCTGGAGCGCCTGTCTTAAATAAGCGTCAGGCATGGTTCCAGCTTGTAACACTGCTGATATCCTGTCCTGGCTCCACGGTTAGCTCCATCTGCTTCCCTGTCTCTTCCCAACAGAATCTTACAGTCCCTGAATACAGTGATTGTTTTAAAATCTTGATTAAGCTCACATTAACCTAGAAATGGTCTTTGTCACAGTCCACGTCCAGCCTCTCTGCTTTTACGTTACGATTTGCCTCACATATATCCTTGCAAAGGGCCTCAATAAAATGACCTCTCTTCTCCAGAAACGGAGTCACATTCTTCACAGTTGGAAATTGAGAAGTTTCCTGTTACATTGTTTATATAGCATAACGAACACATACAATCTATTGTCTTGTGCTTAATACAAATTTAATAGTTTTCAAGTAAGATATGGAGAGAATAAAATGTAGTAGCAAGGCCCAGAAATAGGAAAAATCTAGCTTTAAAATTCCAATGTTGCCATTTCCTAAATAACCTAGACCAAGTTATTTAACCTCTCGGAGCCTCAAAATTGATTTCTCTGTAAACTGGGGATAAGAATGGTGTGGACCTCATGGGGTTGTGGGGCCGATTACATGAGAACCCATGCAGTACACATAAGAAAGTATCCATGGACACACTATACACCACCCATTAGCTGTCATTGTTATTGGTGATGAATTAAACAAGCTTCACACAGAATTAGATTTTAACTCAACCCAACTTAGAAATGGTCTAACCTCAGACTAACCCAGTGGGAAGGTTTACCATGCCCTGGGTGAGCTGGTGCTTGGACTTGCATCAGGGAAGACCATTGTAGTAGCAAAGAGAGTTTGGTTATTCATAACTAAATGCTGCTTTATGAACAATGAAGCAATGAGTTTACTGCAAAGAGCAACCAAAGTTGGAGGTGCTATTTCTGAAACATAAACCTGGACAGAATTAATAGCCTTCTGTGATAAGAACATGAGTCCACTTGTTATCCAAGCAGAAGTGCTTAGTTAGGGTTGTAGTCAGTAACATAACTAGAAGTGCTCATACACACTTAGTACACTTCCTTCTTTCTCCAGGGTAAAGTGGAAGTGGAGGTCGGTAAGGAAGGCCTTCGCTTCGAGAATGGAGCCTTCACCTACTATGGGGTCCCAGCCATCATGACCTCTGCGTGCTCAGGTATTCCAGTTTTCATTTGCTTGTTGGGGAATCAATGGGATATTGTAGAAAAAAACATCTAGACTCAAGTCTTAACTCCTCTTTTGACTCCTGTTACCCTAGACAAGCAGTTTAACTTCCTTGGCTTTAGTTTCTTCTGCAAAATAGGCACAAGTATCACTTTTCATTAAGTTAGTTTGTGCTTTAAAAAAATAAGTGAGAAACAAATTAAATTGGAAAAAGCAATGACATTATAAAGTGTTAAGGATGGAGAGTGGTATATTTCAGTATAAAAAGACAAGTTTGTTGCTTTTTACACTTGTTGCCTCCCCTGCCATTTCATCACCTGGTTTTTACAGGGTTAATTGATCCTGGGGGTGGAATGGAAGAGGGAAGATTTCTATAAGAAGCTGTGTTTTCTGAATTGCCTCTGAAACCCATTGCATCCTTCTGTCCTTAGATAATGACGTGCGGAAGGTTGGAAGCCTGGCTGGATCCTCTGTCTTTCGTATGTATCTCTCAAATCCCTTCCTCGTCCTCCCCATCATAGTTTTGCCTCAGCCCACTCTGGGGACCTGGACCAAGCACTTTGAGCCTGGGCTGGGGCTAAGACAAATGCTGGCAGCCTCTTTGTAATGTTCTGCCAGGAACACTGCTTCCTGCCAGGTACCCACAGACCATGGGGGCTTAGGTTCTGTGTGTCTGGAATGTTTTCTGCAGCTTCTCTGCTCACATGCAAGTGATGAACAGTGATGGGGGGTGGAGGCTGGAGTTGGGGGAGGGGCTTGTGAGTGGAGGCACCATTTGTTGCCATCTGCCAGGGAATGCAGGCAGGTGGTTCCTATGCTTTCATGAAGGTTCAGCCTTTCCTTCTCTGCAGTGATAATTCACCCACTGGCCTTTACTTGAAAACTTGCGTATGCTACTATTGTGTCTGTCCTCAGTAAGAAGTGACAGCAAGATTTGGGGATCTAAGTCCCAGGCTGGTGCAATATGTTGCTTATCTGCTTCTCTCTCCTTGTTCACTATCACTCAGCTGGTGGAGAGATGTCTGCCAGCTGGCCGTGCATGCTGTTGGTGGGGTGCTGGCACAGGGCTGATGGCTGGTTTGCTTGGCCCCTTCTGTGCTGTGCCTTCTCACTGTTTCCTGTGTAGAGTTATTGCACTTGTGTTTAAGAGCATGGCATTTATTGTGATACAAGTGTGATCCGGAAAGAATTATTTCTCTAGATTTCTTTTTGATTCTCTGGTCTGAATTGTGCTTTTAGTGTTTACAGTAGCCACTTTAAGAGCAAATGGGGTGTTACCTCTCATTATAAAAATGATTTTACATAATGCTTTATATTGGGATTTGTCAGAGGGTCCCAGAAATTGATACCATAGTCCCTAGAACATGGCAGGGTAGAGACTGTTTTGACAATGAGTAAAACTAAGGAAATGACTTGGTCCAAATCACCAAGCAAGTTGGTAACTTACTAGATGCATCCTGGTGTCCTGGCTAGTTCACACAGTGCAATGAAATACAGATTTTAGATCCATCGTGTTTCAAAACAGAATGCAATTTCTATGTGGAAAGAGTGGAACAATTTACAATGTTATTTCACATCCTAGCCCAGCAGATGGCTGAAGTGAAGTCTTAAGTACCTACAGAACTTGAGTTAAAGGAGATCTGTAAAATTTTTAAAAGCCCTGGTGTATTATTATGTATATTATATTATACTTATATAAGCCAACAGATCTCAAGGGAGGTTGATGAAGGAAGCATCAGTACCGAATAGAGAACTCTGGGTGGGCCAGGGACAGGCAACAGGATTGGGTAAACCTTAGTTCTCTAAAGGAGATTTCCACCGTCCATCACATTGGGGGCTGCTCCTGGGATTCTAAGGTTACCTAGAAATGCTGTCCTTGTTCTGGCTCTTCTAAAACACCAAAAGAGGTGGGAATTCTGAGAAAAAAAGACCTATATAAGATTCCCTAGACTACCTAATTTAGATGACTTTCTTTCTTAAAAAAAAAAATTAAGCGAAAAGAATATGTTGTCTGATTTCCTCCTTTCCTTCCTTCCTATCTCTAGTTCTTTATCAGTGAGACAGGACTAAATTTGCAACACTGATCTCTCCTTTAAAACCAGTTAACTAAAAGGAAGCATTAAACTCTCTTTACCTCCCCATGCTTCTGAGCATCTTTATAAATTTTCAGGAGGAAAAAGAAATATTATTAGCTAGTAGGGGTAAAGAAACAGTTTTCATCCTCCCCCAAAGCCTCCGTGCTTCATGAAGTGTGAAATAACTGCAAAGGCAGGCCACACCCCACAGTTGTTCTAGGTGGGTGCTCAGCCCAGGGTCTAGCCACCCAGCATCTTTCATTGGCCAAGAACCTCAGCCTATAGGTAGAGGGAGAGTTAAGCCTAACCCACGAGGCAATAAACTCCTGTAGGGTCTTGCCCTAACCAACACCTCCTGTTCTTGAAGCCAGCCTGCAACTTAATCAGCCTTTCTTTTTTTTTCTTTTTTAAGACAGAGTCTTGCTCTGTCATGCCAGGTAGAGTGCAGTGGTGTCAGCCTAGGTCACTGCAACCTCAAACTCCTGGACTCCGGTGATCCTCTTGACTCAGCCTCCAGAGTAGCTGGGACTACAGGTGCATGCCACTGCACCCAGCTAATTTTTTCTATTTTTAGTAGAGATGGAGTCTCACTCTTGCTTGGGCTGGTCTCAGACTCCTGAGCTCAAGCAATCCTCCCTCCTCAGCCTCCCAGAGTGCTAGGATTACAGGCATGAGCCATCACACCCAGCCTTAATCAGCCTTTGAGGGTGAGAAGTGAGATGATGAGTTTGCCTTAACGCTGGCCCTGTGACTTATGCTGCGAAGTTGAACTTGAGGCTACAAGGAAGTCTCTGGTTTTCCTGTGTAGGGCGAAGGGAACACAATCCATGCTGTCTTCCTTATCTTAATTCTGATTACTGGGGAACCCAGAAGGACCATGATGAGCCTGACACTCTGGAGAAACCCTGCCCGAGCTCAGGGTAGCTGGGACAGGTGCACACAGAGATGTGCAGACATGGAGAGAACAAGTGTCCTATCTGCTTGGCTGTGTATACATTTAATTTAAGAAAAACTTTGATCCTTCTTGAGAATATAGGGTTTCTCCAGTGTGTCTCACAATATTAGAGGCCTCTTCAACTATTCACTAATATCTCATGTTAGAGTAAATAATTATCAGGTAGTTACATAGCTCCCCACTTCTGCTCCCCTGCATGTGTAGGGAATTTTCATTTAGTGCAGCAAATAAGACTGCAGAAGCTGCCTATTTCAGTGTCCATCACCTGCAGACTGGCTTCATTTAGCTCCTTGAAAGGGACTCTGGGAATGCTCAGTTAAGAGAAATGAAGACAGATTCCCATGCCAAAACACCACATGATCAGGATCAAGATGGGGAAAGGACCAGACTGTTGCTACACACTCCACCCCGCCCAGGCCCCAAATGATAGCCAGCACCATTTCAGACTCTGTGGAGAAAGGGAAGGAAAAGTGGAAGAAAGGGAAGTGCCTTGGGGAACTTGTACTTGCTACAAAGTGACTGTGATCCAGTTTATCAATTTGATTCACATGAAAACTGCTGGAAATATGTCCTTCCTCTGACCTGATCCTCTAGCAAGGCACAGTTCCTCACCAGCACTGTGACCACAGAGGGAGCTCCTAGGAGTCCGAAGCAGGATCCAGCTCCCTCAAGGAGGGCCCCGAATCCCTGTGCAGGTGCCCTTCTGCCGTTGAGCAGGATGGTGGCAGCTGGGAGAGCCTGGTAGGGATGCAGCTCTGGGCTCCCAGCATGTTTGCTGGCTCAAAACAGGTGCCCAGAGAATGCTGCCTAAATGCTCCCCACTGGGGCACTGCTTGTGCTTGTTGTTGGCAACTCTAATTCCAAGATTATTGCACATCTTTTCAGAAGACCTTCAGCAAAGTCCGTTTTATTTTCTTGTCTTTCTGGAAAGTGACTTTGTAAGAGGGTGCGAATTCCCACGTATTCAGAGGCAAGATTCCTTTTTGCAGAGAAATGTGATATTGTGAAGATTCAGGAACAGACTCTCACCCACTTTGCTCTTTGTCTCTCTCCTTTTGTGTTTATCTTCCCCTTCGCTACTCTGAAATCCTGGGCCCCTGACTCTTTAGTGCCCGTCTCTGTGTCTCGTACCTTCGCCTTCAGCAGAGGGGACTCTCTGGCAGGCTCCCCAGGTAATCATGTGTGGGTGTTTCGGGTCTCCACAGATTCAGTGGGGTTTGCAAGAAGCCTTTGGTCTCTGTCACTGTCCTGCATGAGAACTGGTCTCTCCACAGGCACTCCCATGACTAACGTGTAACACGCTGCACACGTAACACTCATTGGTGTACACATCCCAGGCATTGCTGGTTCAACGGCGTCATTTGTGAATTTACCCAGGGTTGTGTCTGTGTATGCATACAGGGTGAGGGATAGTGTTTTTCGCCATCATTTGTGTGACTGCAGAGGGATGGAATGAGGAATGCAGCAGGAAAGAAATGGGAAGAAATCATGGAATACTCTGCTTTCTTCCCACCTATTTCCCTTCTATATTTCTTTCTGTGTCCTCATCTTCCTCCTGACGTTACTATGTGATGATCATACTCTCTCTGGCTATGTTCATACAAAGGATGCTATATCTAAAAATTTCAAAACAACTTTTCATTAAGTTTAACCTCTCTTGATAATTAAATAAAGGTTACTGGTTTTCTTTTTAATCAAGTAAAGGAACTCATCTACACAATAATGACGGAGTAGAATGCAATAAATCTGAACAATCAGTTAAACCGTTTATATTGTTTTCATCTCTAGAGGTTGTTCTCTTAGGCTCATAGAGCAAGTAATGACAAAACCTGGGATTTATTTGTTAAATTTCCCTGCAGTTAGAACACAGTCCAGTTTCCTATACCCTCTACATTTGTATTCCTTACCCCAGTGCTGGGGTAATAATTCTGAAGCCCCACCATGTCCTCATCAAGGATCCAGTTATGTTTCTCTTCTGGATAGCAGACCTTCAACATTTAAAAAGGCTATTGCCTGAGACCTCAAACCCCCAAATTTGCAACTTCACAAGTATTTATGTTGACTTCTATTTTTCCCCAAATCATATGTTTCCATCAAAAGCTATCTGGTTCCCTTGTGTATCTGTACAAGACAAGTTAATCCCCTTCTCAAATTTCACCAAAGTTTTCTCTCTCTCGATGGTAATGGTGATTTTCCACTCAGAAATAAAGTTTTTCGTGCTTGTGAGAGGTCATGACGCCTTCCTGATGACTACAGGATAGGACGGTCGATGTGAAATGCCAGTCTGGCGCCCTCACCAGCTAAATGATCTGTTCCTACATGCCGGCAGATTTAGAAATGACCACATCATGGATCTTCACGATCCTTCACGTGCAGTGAATCTCGGTGAATGCCAAGTGTGTGCTGTGAAGGTTCTGCAGAAAAGAAAGATGCACATTTTTAAAAGCTT